ATATTGGCAGTTTGGAGAGATATGTTGTGTATTTTTATACGTATATTCTTCTAAACTGTTGTTTTCTGGGCACCTCTGCAAAAACAGTGATTATGTGTGAGTGATGTGAAAGTGTTGAATGATGATGAAAGTATTTTCTTTTTTGGGATTTTCTTTCTCTTTGGGTCACCCTGCCTCAGTGGGAGACGGCCAACTTGTTGAAAAAAAAAAAATCAAAAGGAAGAACTAAACCTACCAGGGTCATTCAACACTGCAGGGTAGGAACTGATGCAGGATCTAAGGATAAGTAAGGGTGACGACGACAATAAAGGTAAAGTTAGGAAGGGCTGTGGGGAGTGCTAAGGGAAGGATTATCAGAGTTTGTGTAATAAATCACTTGCTGTCAAAAAGTCGAAGAGGGAGTCTGTGTCAAAGGTGCATCCGTCAGCAAGGAGGAAAGATAAAGTAAGGGTGATGACGTTAGAAGAAAATTCTGCGTGCTTGTTGATAGACAGGACAGTCCAATAGAATATGAGAAATTGAAATAGGAACTAGACAATTCTCACAAAGTGGAACAAGACGCCTCTCCATAAGATACCCATGAGTTAGACGAGTGCGTCCAATGCAAAGACAAGAGAGTGTTGTCTCCCAACCTCTGTATCGATGACAAGAAGAAGGCCAGAAACCCAAACTTAGTTTGATAGAATGTAATTTGTTTTGAGTCATATCAGACCAATGTTGTTGCCCACGGTTGCGAAGGTGGGTAGAGATTACAGCAAAATAGTCAGAGAATGGAATACTTCTATATGAAACTGGTAGGTCATGTACTGCAGATCACACAGCAGAGTCTGCCTGTTCATTGCCCTGAACATCAACATGACCAGGGACCCAACAGAAAACGATTTCTTTATTTTTGTTAGTAATGCGACATAACCAAAGTTGTATATGAAGAACTAAGGAATGAGGTGAATCAAATTTTTTAATAGCTTGCAAAGCACTAAAGAAGTCTGAGATGATTACAAACTTTGAAGTAGGCATAGATGCAATACAGATAACTGCAATGAGAATGGCATACAATTCAGCTGTAAAAATGCTGGCCTAGTCTAATAAATGACCTCGCACCATGCTGTCAGGAAACACCAGCAGAGGATTTAGAACCGTCAGTGTACACTGCAACAGCACGAGAATGAGATCGGGAGCGATTAAGAAAAAGAGAGCGAGAAGCAACTGTATTGATTTCACTCCCCAAGGGAAAAGTGAAAAGTTAGATGCCAGATGAACATATAGGGGGCAACTGAAGAGAAGACAAGAGTAATTGAATATGAAGGGAAAAGGGATGGAGTAAACAGGGGTGGCAAACAAATGATGAACTTCGTTACTATCCTGTATGTAGTAGGATCGTGCAGGTCATGAAAGCAGACAAAATAACGGAGGCAATGAGCATCACGACGATCATTCAAGGATGGGACATTTGCTTCTACATAGAAGCTCTTGACAAGTGAGGAGCGAAAAGCACCTAGATGTAAACATAATCCCTAATGATGGATGGGATCGAGTTTAGAAAGAATTGCGGGAGAGGCCGCAGAATATATCTGGTCACCAAAATCTAGCTTTGATAAAATCAGGGCCTAATGCAATCGAAGGAGGGTTCGACGATCTGCCCTCCATGAAAGATGAGCGAGGGTTTCAAGGAGGTTCAGCCAGCTATGGTAAGTTGCTTTCAGGGAGGTAATGTATGGTTTAAAAGACAACCAGTGGTCAAACAGCAGGCCGAGAAATCTGACCGTATCGCATTCAGGGATTTGTGAGCCATACAGGTACAATGGACTACAGGGACGATTGAACATTTGGTGAAAGTAATTGTTTGTGTTTTAGCATTAGAAAATTTAAACCCATTAGTAGCCCAATGGGAAACACTGTTGACAGCATTCTGGAGTGAGGCTGCTACTAGGTGACAGTCAGTGCCTGCACAAGCTATAGCGAAATCATCAACACAGAGTGATGACCAAATATTAGATGGCAGAACAGATAATAAAATGGTAAAAAAAAGAATATTTAAAAGATTTTTCTTTGCAAGTAATGGTGAAGATATGAAGCTAAATTTTTATTATTATCACACTGGCCGATTCCCACCAAGGCAGGGTGGCCCGAAAAAGAAAAACTTTCACCATCATTCACTCCATCACTGTCTTGCCAGAAGGGTGCTTTACACTACAGTTTTTAAACTGCAACATTAACACCCCTCCTTCAGAGTGCAGGCACTGTACTTCCCATCTCCAGGACTCAAGTCCGGCCTGCCGGTTTCCCTGAATCCCTTCATAAATGTTACTTTGCTCACACTCCAACAGCACGTCAAGTATTAAAAACCATTTGTCTCCATTCACTCCTATCAAACACGCTCACGCATGCCTGCTGGAAGTCCAAGCCCCTCGCACACAAAACCTCCTTTACCCCCTCCCTCCAACCCTTCCTAGGCCGACCCCTACCCCGCCTTCCTTCCACTACAGACTGATACACTCTTGAAGTCATTCTGTTTCGCTCCATTCTCTCTACATGTCCGAACCACCTCAACAACCCTTCCTCAGCCCTCTGGACAACAGTTTTGGTAATCCCGCACCTCCTCCTAACTTCCAAACTACGAATTCTCTGCATTATATTCACACCACACATTGCCCTCAGACATGACATCTCCACTGCCTCCAGCCTTCTCCTCGCTGCAACATTCATCACCCATGCTTCACACCCATATAAGAGCGTTGGTAAAACTATACTCTCATACATTCCCCTCTTTGCCTCCAAGGACAAAGTTCTTTGTCTCCACAGACTCCTAAGTGCACCACTCACTCTTTTTCCCTCATCAATTCTATGATTCACCTCATCTTTCATAGACCCATCCGCTGACACGTCCACTCCCAAATATCTGAATACGTTCACCTCCTCCATACTCTCTCCATCCAATCTGATATTCAATCTTTCATCACCTAATCTTTTTGTTATCCTCATAACCTTACTCTTTCCTGTATTCACCTTTAATTTTCTTCTTTTGCACACCCTACCAAATTCATCCACCAATCTCTGCAGCTTCTCTTCAGAATCTCCCAAGAGCACAGTGTCATCAGCAAAGAGCAGCTGTGACAACTCCCACTTTGTGTGTGATTCTTTATCTTTTAACTCCACGCCTCTTGCCAAGACCCTCGCATTTACTTCTCTTACAACCCCATCTATAAATATATTAAACAACCACGGTGACATCACACATCCTTGTCTAAGGCCTACTTTTACTGGGAAAAAATTTCCCTCTTTCCTACATACTCTAACTTGAGCCTCACTATCCTCGTAAAAACTCTTCACTGCTTTCAGTAACCTACCTCCTACACCATATACTTGCAACATCTGCCACATTGCCCCCCTATCCACCCTGTCATACGCCTTTTCCAAATCCATAAATGCCACAAAGACCTCTTTAGCCTTATCTAAATACTGTTCACTTATATGTTTCACTGTAAACACCTGGTCCACACACCCCCTACCTTTCCTAAAGCCTCCTTGTTCATCTGCTATCCTATTCTCCGTCTTACTCTTAATTCTTTCAATTATAACTCTACCATACACTTTACCAGGTACACTCAACAGACTTATCCCCCTATAATTTTTGCACTCTCTTTTATCCCCTTTGCCTTTATACAAAGGAACTATGCATGCTCTCTGCCAATCCCTAGGTACCTTACCCTCTTCCATACATTTATTAAATAATTGCACCAACCACTCCAAAACTATATCCCCACCTGCTTTTAACATTTCTATCTTTATCCCATCAATCCCGGCTGCCTTACCCCCTTTCATTTTACCTACTGCCTCACGAACTTCCCCCACACTCACAACTGGCTCTTCCTCACTCCTACAAGATGTTATTCCTCCTTGCCCTATACACGAAATCACAGCTTCCCTATCTTCATCAACATTTAACAATTCCTCAAAATATTCCCTCCATCTTCCCAATACCTCTAACTCTCCATTTAATAACTCTCCTCTCCTATTTTTAACTAACAAATCCATTTGTTCTCTAGGCTTCCTTAACTTGTTAATCTCACTCCAAAACTTTTTCTTATTTTCAACAAAATTTGTTGATAACATCTCACCCACTCTCTCATTTGCTCTCTTTTTACATTGCTTCACCACTCTGTTAACCTCTCTCTTTTTCTCCATATACTCTTCCCTCCTTGCATCACTTCTACTTTGTAAAAACTTCTCATATGCTAACTTTTTCTCCCTTACTACTCTCTTTACATCATCATTCCACCAATCGCTCCTCTTCCCTCCTGCACCCACTTTCCTGTAACCACAAACTTCTGCTGAACACTCTAACACTACATTTTTAAACCTACCCCATTCCTCTTCGACCCCATTGCCTATGCTCTCATTAGCCCATCTATCCTCCAATAGCTGTTTATATCTTACCCTAACTGCCTCCTCTTTTAGTTTATAAACCTTCACCTCTCTCTTCCCTGATGCTTCTATTCTCCTTGTATCCCAGCTAAATACGGTAGTGAAAACAGAACACCATGAACATAGCTCTCTTCCTGTAATCACGAACAGGTAATCAAACACACACAAAAGCAGTACAGAACAATGTACGTATATTATTATAATGGTACACAATACCAACAAGTAGACGAGTAAGACATGCAACAGTCAGGTATCTTCAGTTCTGAAACATTTCACCTACACAGTAGACTTCTTCCTTTGAATACAAAGGTGACTAAACATGGAGACAGTAGAAGTAATGGAGAGGTATAGGTGATTAGTGCATCAGCCTTGAAGTAGTGGTTCTGAGGTGGTTAGTCTCTCAGTCTTAGGAAGAGTCCAGCTCTATGGTCACCTCTTGTATTTAACTGAAGAATTTACTGTGCAGGTAAAACATTTCAGAAATAAAGATACCTAACTGTTGCACTTGTAACTTACTCAACACATCAAATTGTTCTGTAGTTAACACAGCAGGTGTTTAAAATATATATCACTCAGTCAGAAGACCACTTTATTGAATCAACAAGTCATGAAAGAGAATCAGAAGACAAGACTTGTGTTTGTAACAATCAAAATATAAAGAAAGTGTTCATTACACCACTTTAGGCATAACCTACCTCACAGTGTTGAGCAAACACTAAGGTTTACACACATGACAGCTAAGATACTACCCACTACACACATGACAGCTAAGATACTACCCACTACACAGATGACAGCTAAGATACCACTACTCACATGACAGCTAACATAACACCCACTATACATGAACACTCATAATAAACCATACCACTGGTGGGGTTAGAACCCGCAATCAGAGAGTCATAGAACTCCAGACCATCATTTTAGCCACTGGGCAAGTGGCTGGTCACAGTGGTGCCTATGTTAACCTTCCTATGGTGTAGAAATATACCTAGTTGGATGAATTTTATTGTTGTAGCTAGCTGGCTCAGTGGCTAATGCGACAGTCTGGACCTTTATGACTCTCTGATCAAGGGTTCTAACCCCACCCATGGTATGGTTTGTTTGCAATCATGTCATTACACTCATAATAAATGGAGATTCTGAAAAATAAAGAATTTTCTAAAAATAAAAATAAACACCTGTATGGTAATGAATACAGTACATTAAAAGAACTTCTTCATAATAAACCTATATACAATATATGAGTAATTAATACCATTATTCTTTATAATTCTCCTGTATAACAAAAATATAACATCTGTACAGTACATCTATAGAATGTATCAGTAATGTCTTTGCAGTGACACAAGTAAGAACACAAATTCACAATACCGTGACTGGAACAATACACAAATAACCCGCACGTGTGAAAAAGAAACTTACGATGACGTTTAAGTCCGACTTGTATCATTAACTATGTGCGGGTTATTTGTGTACAGCACAATACTGTATATCACTGCTTCTTAGTGTACACTCCCTCACTATCTGACAGTGCTTGAAATAATCAGTTTTGGTCACAGATAAATTCGACAACTCTCTGTTCCATTAATTCCGGATCGCAGCACCTAACGCTTGCCGAAGTCACAACTTCATCCAGCAAGACATTCAAAACATGCTCATCCGCCACATACGACCAGAGGTATGTCCGTAGGTAGTAAGCATCCACTTGGACTTGTTGTAGCCCAAACCTACTGAAAGTTCGTAATCGCACACTCTCCAGCAGTGTCTGCAAAAGTGAGGGAATATAAATGGTCATCTACTGACGTAACTCAGTAATGGAACTATCTTTAAACTACCACAACAAACATTATAACACACTGTCTTACAAAAACAATCCAAACATGTCACAGACAAGCAAAATTGTTAGAGTTAATGTCTGATATTGCAGACTAACAGCATTCAAGTAAACCAGCCTAATTTTATAAATGTCTCTAGTGATAAGTTAATTTTAAGGCTCCCCGAAGTGCTCTTCATAAATAGGAGCTTTCTATAAACTATGCTAAAAACATCAACTATTCCTGTAGTTATGTAATTTTATAGAACTAAAGATTATTATTTATTATTATTATTATTATTATTATTATTATTATTATTATTATTATTATTATATTGGTTTGGTTACTGTTTTTTTGGTACTGGTAATATAATTTACTGGACAATGTGAAGTAACAGTAGTGATAGCTAGTACTGAGAAGGATAGCAATATCCCAGTCTTTTACAGTAGTAAAAGCTATTAAATAATTAAACAAGATAACAGAATATTAAAAACTACAAGAGATGGTAGATTGAAAAAAATTCCACAAGGTAGTCGAAAAAAAAAATTACTAGAAAAATAAAAAGAAAAAAGTTCAGGAACATTGGAAAAATGTTAAACTACAAAATAAAAATTATTAATACTACTATACCTTAAGACTTATTTTAACAATTCCAGTTAAAATTGAGACTCTGGTAAATTCCACTGGGGCAAATATTTCAATGCGTTCTGACCAGAGTTTGTTGAGGTTAGCAACCAGGCTGTTGTCCAGCTGACTTGGTGTGTAAGACGACCAAGCTGAGCGACCACCACCTCCTCCACGGGAAGCATTCACACTATGGAGTACAATATTTAATAATACGGTCATTATAAATTCACTGTAAAATGAACTCTATGGTGAAGAACACAAAGGCACAAAACTGTGACTGGAACAACACACGAATAATCTGTACAAAGGAGAAAAAACTTTATGGTGACGTTTCAGTTGGACTCAGACCATTAACAAGTGACACTGACTAGTTAATGGTCCAACTTGGGCAGAAACATCATCATACAGTTTCTTTCCCTCTGAGTAGGTTATTTGTGTAATGAACTTTATGGTATGTGAAGGAAATTACAATATAGGCTTCCTTATAGTCACTTAATATTCGTACAATAAATCCCAATTGGTCAAAAAAGAAAGTCACAGACGAATGATGCGCTGTACCTGTGGAAGGTGCGGCGAGAAGAATCCGATGATCTGTCTCGACGATTACCTTCTTCATACAGTGCTCCAACCTGAAAGTTTATGACTGATTCACTTGTGTCCTGGGATACATTGATGACACATGATAAACCTGTGTTCATCCTTCCATATTATGAATTACTTTACAACTTTTTTGGGGAGTCCCATAAACTTATAGAAATCAGTTTCAAAATAAAGTGATCCCTTGAGTTACAATATTGTACCTCAAAACTATTGTAAATAACTCTCCAAAAAATACAGAGAATTATGGTAATTAATTCCAAGATGTCAGAACACATCCAACCTGCCTTGGTAATTCATGTTGCTTTAATACTCTGAGGTTTCCTGATTGGTAAATAAACACAAGCTTCACCTTGAAATATCCAGAGGCATTGACACCCAACAGCTGAGTAAGCCTACCTTTCATAGGCTTATGCCAAGCAAAGTGGCAGGATATAGCAGGATATAGCAGGGCAGGGCAGGGCAGGGCAGGGCAGGGCAGGGCAGGGCAGGGCAGGGCAGGGCAGGGCAGGGCAGAGCAGGGCAGAGCAGGGCAGGGCAGGGCAGGGCAGGGCAGGAGAGCAAAGCAGAGCAGAGCAGGGCAGGGCAGAGCAGGGCACTAAATATTTAGTCTTGTCGCAGTCTCCTTCTGCCCACATCTGATACATGTACAGTCTCCCTCCTGCCTCTGCCTTCCTTCCTCTCTTCCACCCTCCCTCCCTCCATCCCACTCACCCCAACACAACTTAACCATCATTCCATTTAAGATCTTTTTATCACACTGTCTTGTCTCTGGGCTGAGGCCCACCCACGCACTGATCATCACACACTTACGAATATCCCAAATTCTTCACTGCAACTCAGAATCAAATTCCTTTATGAGGGGTAAATTGTAACTCAAGCCCATCATAACTCAAGGGACCACTGCACAGCAACAGGAACAATCATACAAACAATAAAGAAAATAGCATCTCTCTTCTTATAATACTGATGAAAAGAAGACAGAAGGGAATCATAAACATTCATAAAACATCAAAGTGAATCACAAATACTACATTTACAAATGTTGCAAAAATTTTCCTAAGTCTGTATTCAATAAATTAAATTATTTTAGGGTAAGAATATTATTTAAAACACTTCTTCTTCTTCTTCTTATGACCAGAGCTTTGGTAAGATGGGTAAGGAAGAAGGATGGGTAAGGATAGAAATATTGGAAAAGGTGGGAGGGGGGAGAGAGGTAGGATATAAAAGGTAAGTGGCCCAACCACTTTGGTGTAATTTAAAAAGTGTATGTGAAATGATAAGATATTCTTTAAGAGGTATAATACTAACCCATCAGAGTCACATAGATATAACAGATATATAAGTACATGACTCTGAATTGGTAGTAATTATACAAGTTGCAATTGCTTTTTTTTTTTTTTTTTTTTTTTTTTGCGATTGCACAACGGATATTTAATCGACAATGAAGGCAATAATTTCCTGGCCAGTTTATAAAGAATTACTTGACAATGGCTTCTTACAGGTGGTGTCCCGCCATAGTAAATATAGCATAATTTTTTCAGTAGATTGTTATATAAGATGTCTCCCTAATTGGGGGCGATGATTTTCTCAGTAAACATAGAAGGGTTCTGGTGTTACCCAATCTTCTTCATCAGGGAGGTTGCTCAATATCATGGGTCGATGGTAATCATCTTTATGGATAAAACGACGGACCCTGTGTGGGAGAGTCATTCTTTGAGTCCTGTGAGGAGGAGTATTGATGGTATAATCTGTGGTATTTACAACTTGTATAGGATGTTCTCTATCTGGCATGTATAGCTCTTGCATTGTATAGAGTTGTTTCTTCTTCAGGGTGTCAAGGCGTACATTTAACCCTTTGACTGTTTTCGACGTATAAATACGTCTTACGAGCCAATGTTTCTGACGTATATATACTCAATAATTCTAGCGGCTTCAAATCAAGCGGGAGAAAGCTGGTAGGCCCACATGTGAGAGAATGGGTCTGTGTGGTCAGTGTGCACCACATAAAAAAAATCCTGCAGCACACATTGCGTAATGAGAAAAAAAAACTCTGATCGTTTTTTTGGAATAAAACGCAGACTTCGAGGTGTATTTTTGTATAGTATTTATCGTCGTATTCGCGTTTTCATGGTCTTAGGTGATAAAATGGAAAACATATTACAAAAATAGAGATGATTTTCATTACTTTGACGATGAAAACGACCTTGAAACTGAGCTCAAAGTAGCGGAAATGTTCGATTTTTACCAATGTTCAGGAGTAAATAAATCACACCACACGTCCAATACACGTCAACTGGGGAGTCTAATATTCTTTCACTAGTGCACTGATATTATTTATACCATTTTTACAATAATGCAGTAGTCTGCATAACAGTAAATTTTGTATTTTTTGTATGAATAAAAAATCAAAATAGAAAGCAATAATAATATAAGAGGGGCCTAGAGATGTGACTAATGAACAGAGCACATGTTATTTTAGTGCCACGAATGTCTACCTTGTTTATTCTGGACCCTATTTTGAAATTGGCATCTTTTTTATTTTGCGTGAAATTGGCCAAATTGCCAATTTCTGACCACCATATTGGGTAGTCCAAATTAGTAAATGGGAGGTTTCTTGTACTCAGCTGATAGATAAAATGGAGTTTTAAAGAAATAGCTATGAGTCTGGTCAACTGGAACAATGGAATTGGCTGAAAATAGGGCTCAAAGTCGGCGAAATCGCCGATACACATGTCGCCGAGACCGCTAACTTCGCGGGAGCATAATTCCATGAGTTTTCGACCAAATTTCGAACTTTTGGTGTCATTACCATCGGGAAAAGATTCTCTATCATTTCATAAGAAAAAATATTTTTTTTTTTTTTCAAAAATTGAGCGACAGAATGACAGTTTCATAAAGGGGCCTGAAACAGTCAAAGGGTTAATGCAGTAATATCTTGTTGTACGTGTAAATCTGCCATTTTAACTCTGTCTCTCCTCCTGGTACCCGTAATGAAGCGAAGAGCTCTATTCTGGACCCGTTGTAACTGTAGCATGTTGGTCTTTGTTGTTAACCCTTTGACTGTTTCAGGCCCCTCTCTGAAACTGTCATTCTATGTCGCTCAATTTTTGAAAAAAATAAAATTATTTTTTCTTATGAAATGATAGAGAATCTTTTCCCGATGGTAATGACACCAAAAGTTCAAAATTTGGTCGAAAACTCGTGGAATTATGCTCCCGCGAAGTTAGCAGTCTCGGCGACATATGCGTATCGGCGATTTCGCCGACTTTGAGCCCTATTTTCAGCCAATTCCATTGTTCCAGTTGACCAAACTCATAGCTATTTCTTTAGAACTCCATTTTATCTATCAGCTGAGTACAAGAAACCTCCCATTTACTAATTTGGACTACCCAATATGGTGGTCAGAAATTGGCAATTTGGCCAATTTCACGCAAAATAAAAAAGATGCCAATTTCAAAATAGGGTCCAGAATAAACAAGGTAGACATTCGTGGCACTAAAATAACATATGCTCTGTTCATTAGTCACATCTCTAGGCCCCTCTTATATTATTATTGCTTTCTATTTTGATTTTTTATTCATACAAAAAAATACAAAATTTACTGTTATGCAGACGACTGCATTATTGTAAAAATGGTATAAATAATATCAGTGCACTAGTGAAAGAATATTAGACTCCCCAGTTGACGTGTATTGGACGTGTGGTGTGATTTATTTACTCTTGAACATTGGTAAAAATCGAACATTTCCGCTACTTTGAGCTCAGTTTCAAGGTCGTTTTCATCGTAAAAGTAATGAAAATCATCTCTGTTTCTGTAATATGTTTTCCATTTTATCACCTAAGACCATGAAAACGCGAATACAACGATAAATACTATACGAAAATACACATCAAAGTCGGCGTTTTATTCCAAAAAAACGATCAGTTTTTTTTTCTCATTACGTAATGTGTGCTGCAGGATTTTTTTTACGTGGTGCACACTGACCACACAGACCCATTCTCTCACATGTGGGCCTACCAGCTTTCTCCCACTTGATTTGAAGCCGCTAGAATTATTGAGTATACAGTGGACCCCCGCATAACGATTTTAATCCGTGCAAGAGGGGTAATTGTTATGCGAAATAATCGGTATGTGAATGAATTTTCCCCATAAGAAATAATGGAAATAAAATTAATCCGTGCAAGACACCCAAAAGTATGAAAAAAAAAATTTTTTACCACATGAAATGTTAATTTTAATACACACAAACTGAAAAAGGCATGCACACTTACATGACACTTACTTTTATTGAAGATCTGGTGATGATTGATGGGATGGGAGGAGGGGAGAGAGAGTGTTAGTGTTTAGAAGGGGAATCCCCTTCCATTAAGACTTGAGGTGTCAAGTCCTTTTCTGGGTTACTTCCCTTCTTCTTTAATGCCACTAGACCAGCTTCAGAGTCACTGGACTTCTTTCGCACAACATATCTGTCCATATGGCCTGTACCTCTCGTTCCTTTATGACTTCCCTAAAGTGTTTCACAACATTGTCAGTGTACAGGTTGCCAACACGGCTTGCAATAGCTGTGTGAGGGTGATTTTCATCCATGAAGGTTTGCACTTCAAGCCACTTTGCACAGATTTCTTTAATCTTTGTAGTAGGCAACTTCTTCAATTTCTCTCTCCCCTCCTCTGAACCAGTTTCCTCAGGTCTGGCCTCTGCCTTGAAGTTGATCTTAGCTCATCAGGGGTTAGTTCTTCATTGTCCTCCTCCACAATTTCCACATCTCCCCACAAACCCAACCCCAAAGGGCTTTCCCAATCCCAATTTTTTCCTAAAATGGCTAAACCTCTCAGGGGTTTGCCTCAAAACCCCTTCAAATCCTTTTGTCTACACATTCTGGGCCCCAGTTTCTTCCAAAAGAGTTTTAAGGGCTTTTAGTCACTCCCCCCAAGCCCTTTCCATAAGGTTTTTCACAATTTAGGATATTAAAAGGGTCTTCCAAAAAATCTCTTAGAGTCAGTTGGTTTCTGGGCACTACAAAGCACC